GTGTGTGTGTGTGTGTGTGTGTGTGTGTGTGTGTGTGTGTGTGTGAACGTCTGAGTGAGCACAAGGCAGAGAAGAGGATGTAGGTGAGGTTCTCTTTCCAAGATGTTTTTGTTTTCTCTTCCCTCCCGGTGCGGAGTCGTGGGTTTTGAGCAACAGAAGGTAAAATAAACACTGATCAGACTTCCCCCGGAACACGAGCAATCCCCAGAGGAATTCTGGGAATGTGGCTCGGGATGTCAGGCCTGCCGCTCTGACCACATCCTGAAAACTCAAAGAAATCCACAGAACAGGCTCTGGAGATGTGTGTGTGYGCTAACAACAAGGAGAGCCTCGTGTTGTATAACAACAAACTTAGCAACACTTTTTGAAAAGTCGTTGCGTTTTGTGCGACGCTCATTCGACACATTTTAACACTGCAGGGATRGATGTATTATGTTAAACTGTTACCCGGTATGCGAATCTTGAACTTCCCACTCTGTCCAAAGCCTCCCTCGATGACTCCGCTCTCGCCTGTGGACAGCGTGACCTTTAACCCCACAAAGAGCTGCAGATTRGTCTCCTTTTTGAACAAGCTGCGGCCGATCAGAGAGTACTCATCAGTCACCTGAACACCAGACAGAAGGCAAAAAAGGAAAACAGAAGAGTGAGAGCTGAATAAAGGCAATAATTAAGTCACTGCACAAAGCAATATCATTGTGTGACATATTCAAATAGCAAAAAAAACTGCAATAACTCACAAAGGAAAACAACGAGCCAATAATATATTTCAGTTACACCTATGTTGCCCAAAATACCCACAGATGATTTTAACAATATCAACTTTGTGTTGTTTTTTTTATGATGCAAATCTAAAATGATCTAATTACGACTAATTGAAACATATCTCTGCTGTGTCACCATGTTTCTTTCTGTCACTAGGATGTTTGAAGAAGAGCCATGCCACGTGAGTCAAAGCGTCTGCTGTCGGCTCCATTCTTCCAGGTTCATTGCAACATTTTTTATTTTTATTTTTTTTGTAGCATACTGTACTTGCATTTTTTGGCTAACCCAAACCCTATTACTAATCTGATAACTGGAAGGCACCGCACTGTCTCRAACACCACTAAGTCTTCCTCTCTCTGCTCTTCCTAACCTTTATTYCTTCCTGAACTTTTGGCCTTAGCGACCCTCAAGCGTGACTGATCTGCTGATAAAAACAAAACAAAACAAAAACCATACAGTTGCCGTACATGTTTGACAGACCGTATGAATGGTGACTAGACGAGGACGTCACCTCTCAACACTAACGTGCTCCGTTGCAAGTGAGCAAATTCTTTAAGCTCCGAACAGAACTGCCTCATTCTGGGGCTGAACGGCAAATGTAACGTCACAAGTCCACTGTCTGACCCCGCCGCGCACAGGCTGTTCCCCTCCGGAGTGTATGAGCGGAGCTGTTGACAGCCCGAGGTGCTAAAGCAGGAAACTGGTTCACACGCTTGACCCCTGAACTCCGTCTGACCCCGCCTGCACGGAGAAATGTAACTGTAACAGAAAAGCGCGACGAGAGCTGTGGAGTGCATGGCGTGGAAAACTGGCTCTAAAATTCTGTTGCTCTGCAATAAATTGTAAAAAGAAGAAAAACTTTAGCATGAGAAGTGATAAACTAGCTCAGTATTACAAAAGAAAATGTAAAAGCAAGTATGATTTCAGAAACAGGCGGAAAGAAAGATTAAAAAAAGGACGGCGCTCAGGCATAGCTCCCAACATGTGGATGTTTGCGTGGCACTCAGGTGTGTCCAAACAGCGCCAGCAGCCGCTGACAGTGAGACGGCGACTGGCGTCTGTCGGCCACCCACGCGAGCCTTTGTCACAGCACATGCTAAGGCATGAGTGCCACCCATTCCTCAGAGGCTGCGCACCAGGACTGCATATGCATGATTGTTTGTGAGTACGTGTCTGTTTGTGAGCATACAATAGGGGCTCTGTCTGGAAGCCACGCTCCAGTGCTGCCAGCAATGAGAAACATTCAAAGAACTGGAGCGAGAAGGAGCGCAAGGTGACRGTGAGGGCAGAGACACAGGAACAACACTCAAAGGATCATGGGATAGATGTTTTTTTTATGTAATGGACAAACTGGACTTGCACTCACCCGCTCCACCTGTCCCTCCTTGTGTTTGGTCTTGTAGATTCGCAGACCGGGCAGTGAAGTCTCAGCGTAGCTTTTATCCTCAAACCCGTGCAACAAGCGGCCTTGGAAGGCGAGCCGGCATGCGTTGGCGTGGATGTCCGAGTCCAGCTTGGAGCCAATGACCAGACAGAGCGCGGGACATGTGACCGGTCGCTCAAACTCCAACAAGGCCCACTGCTCCGGGTCGATCCCTGAACTCCCGTCTCCCTGACTGGAAACATATTCGTCCTGGTAGAAATACTCCCTGTCGAAAGTGAAGGCCGTTTCCAGTGAGCAAGGCTCCGATGGAGCTGGTTTAGAGTCAACRGGGGGCAGGCCGAAGAAGGTCACCCTCGCCATGACCGTCTCGTGACCCACTGTGATGTGGAACTTGACACGGGTGGCAAGAGGGCCCTTGAAGTAGCCTATCTTCCTGACAGAGACAACAGCTGCGTAGAGGGTGCGCAGGGAGCCCGGGGTGCACACCAAACCTCGCTCCAACAGCTTGGGGTYGAACTGAGTCACGCACACGCCCACACGATCCCCCTGCATGGCCCCCGACACTGGCTTCCGAAACATCTGCACCGACTTTATTTTCTTGGTCACCTGAGAGCAAAAAGATACAACAACCAGCTGAGTTCACAACACAAACGACAAACATCATCTATATGAATCTGATCAGAAGACAAACAACAGCACACAAGGAAAAGTTTTACTATTTGGAACAAAAGAAGAACATAACTGTTTGTAACTCATAACTTACCTTACAACATGTTCATGTACTAAATAAAATSAACATTAAAATGGTAAATATGAACATGCACATGTAAAACTTCTGGTTAAAAACAAACAAAATATTCATCCTCAAAATGTTGTTAAAGTGATAAAGTGGCCCAATTTCCTTACATTTTTATGGCAATTCAAATATAATACAAAATTACGATTATGATCGTGTTTAATTTCCAAAAAAAAACATAAAAAGTTAGGCTGCTTTATTTATTTATTAACCTTTATTTAACCGGGCAAATCCAAGGACTACATATGTAAATTAGCAGTTATGCTACAATCTKGCTCATTTACAGTCTATACAGAAGTMTAAGMATRTTCATTAATGTKYACTGTCCTGATTAGACRAAAAAAGGAAGAAAAAAAWTACTGATCTCTTTTGCAAGGGAGGCCTGGGCTTTACTTTGTCTATTTAAGAAGCAAAATACACACAAACAAAATATCAAATCCAAATAGGTCTAAGTCAATTATTCAGGTCGTATTTTCACAGTATAGAAACCAAGATTTATTTTTTTAATTCTAAAAAAATTGTCATTTGTTAACCAGATTGTGGTTACAAGTGTTTGTTAATTAAGCCATCTGCTGCCACCTAGAGGTGAATGTGAAAACTGCAGACAAACAAGCAGAATGTGCCTTTGCATGTGGTCCTAATTACCCTCCTCTTTCCACCCACACTCCCCTCGTCTTTTCCTCAAACTAAACTGAAACATCCTCTGAACCCAGTCGACCATCCRTCCCTCTGTAAGAGCACAAACAGCTCGACTTACGAGCCTCTGCGTGATCCGCAAAATGTATTTCCATGACACAGGAACGTTACCTGCCTGTAAACATCAAAGTTTAAGCAAAGTCATGTCCAGTTTTTGGAACAAACCTTCAGCACTGGGATTTCCACAGTATCATTAACAGCCAGGGAACCGTGCAAAATGGTGCCGGTCATGACTGTTCCCTGTCCACGGATGGAGAAGCAGTGGTCCACAGCCATGAGCAGGTCACCTTTGGGGTCTCTCTTAGGGAGGTATGTCTGTTTCTTCAAAAGCTGGGGGGGCAGAAAAAAAAGGGTAACCGCAAATTTAATATTGCAAGAATTTGTGTGTGGCAAATACAAACAAGCAGAGAGCCAGGCATTAAATAAACTCTTTCTGTTTGTCCAACCAGTCCAACAATACTTTATTAAAGGGGATTTGAATTGTCAGGTAGCTTCAGTGAGTGTTGGCATTTTTTTTTCTCTAACCCTAACCCTGTAAATCCGAYCATGGAAAACTTAAAAACACTTCAGTTTTATTTTTCATGTTGGCAAAAAGCACCATTCTATAAATGGATTGAAAACCTCTAACAAGGGTTCAACAGGGTTRGAATTTTTATGACTGCCAAGGTTATAAAAGGGAGACATTTTCATAGTTAATATTCAGCAAGTCAGTGTGCCATCATATTCAACAGCCTGATTTTTAATTCTCCATTTTAAAAAAATCATAATAAAAAAATGGCTATCAATAAATTAAAAAGTAGTAAACCCTGAAAAACTGCCTTATGTCCACCCCCTTGCATGACAAAGTTTTAAACTATAGTTCTTGTGCGACTTATTAGCACCCAATATGTGTAAAATGGACAGTTATAATAATTTTTGTGGGTTTTAAAACTATAAAGCCAAGTTTGTCCATCAGAGAGAACTGTCCAGAACATAACTAATACATCTTTGTTAGATTTCTAATAAACGCAGGTTTCTAGTAAAAACAAAATTGCAAAACTCCGCAGCTCATGTGCTAACCAAGACCAGAAGGCAGGGTCATATTACACCTGTTTTAAAATCATTGCATTGGCTCCCTGTACATCTTAGAATTGATTTCAAGGTTCTTTTACTGGTTTTTAAATGTCTTAATCATCTTGCGCCACCTTATCTGGCTGAACTGTTATTGCCCTATGAACCGCCACGAACCCTAAGATCCTCTGGCACTGGATAACAGYTCCAAAAATCAGAACACACACATATGGAGAGGCTTCTTTTCAGTACTGTGACCCTCGTCTGTGGAACGGTCTGCCTGAAAATGTGAGGGCTGCAGAGAGTGTTGCAATCTTTAAGAGCAGGCTTAAGACACATCTTTTTAAACGTATTCATTGAACTGTATTTTATCTGATCATTACATTTTTTAATGATTGTTTTTATTGTATTGTTGTTATTGTTGTTGTTGTTTTTATGGGTTTGTTTATTGTGCATAATTTTGTACAGCACCTTGAGCTGCTTTTAGTATGAAGTGTGCTTTATAAATGAATAAAACTAAACTAAAAACTAAAATGTCAGAGCTTTAAACAAAAAATACATTATACCCTTCATCCACCAAGCTGCTTCATCTTTATCATTTACACAATAGAAGTCAGGTTATAAACATTTTAAGCAAATTAACAAAATATACTCTTTTTTTACAACTATATCTACATTTCTGGTTTCATGAGAACTCACACATTGTTTTAAGCTTCATTAGTTACAATTATAAGACGCAGGTCTGTTTCCACTCCTTACCTCGATTAACTGTGGCACTCCCTGTGGCTCCTCTGTGTCAGGGGCCTCTGGGCCCCCGGGCTTCGCCGCCACAGCAATCACCTGACAATCCTTAAATCTGGCAATTAGAAAAACAGTGACAGTGAAATGATTTCAGGGTGTTATGTTAAAGTTTTATGAAGAACGCAACAGGTTTGATAACCAAAAATTGAAAGTTACTGAAAGAACCAACTATCTGTCCAGGTTAATATTTCAAAGCCACCRTTTCTACACACGTCCTAATAAATGGTTTTGCTCATTAGTACAAACYTGGTGCTCTCCAGTGTTTTGTGCAGCCTCTTGGTCATTTTCTCAATGGTACTCTGTCTCTTGTTAGGGGGCAGCAGGTCAGTCTTATTCAGTACGACCACCATGCGGGGGCAGGTCAGCTCTCCGATCAGCAGACACTCTGCAGTCTGAGTCTGCACGCCTTTCACCACATCCACCACCAGGATCATCAGGTCAATGATCTGTGCACCTAAAGAACAGAAGACATTTTTAAAAACGTAGAAAGTATAATGAGCTGAAGCAGCACATTTCATCCCAAAGACATCCAAGTTTTTCTGGTTTTGTTTTAAAAAAAAACATCTATGAGAAGATGAAAAGCAACACAAACAAGAAACACAGGGGCCCAAAAATAACAACAAAACAAGAGGGAAAATTAGAGGCAAGGGGGCGTGCAGGAAGAATCAAAAGCTAGAGGGTTGAAACTGGAGCTGCTCACTTGGTTTTCTTGCACCCCCACCCAACTTTGGCGCTGCTCTTTTTCCTGTGCTCCCCACTTGGGACTGGAAGGGAAGTTTAATGCATACCCCAATCTACTCCCTTTTTTTCCTTCCCTAATATACAGCATGTGCCACCCAATGGCTGGTTTAATTTACCTTTTTTTATGCACAACAGTGCAGAGTTTAAGGCTTGACAGCCTTCAAAAACATGAACAAATCCACTATAATCTGGTTGCTTGTGCTGAAGATCATAAAACTGTGAGTTACAGAGTGTTATTAAGTGAATGTTCGGATTTATTTACTCAGAACAGCAGCTGCCCTCCTCATACTTGCACCAGTCTTCTTTAACCATTTAGTTTCCACAGCAAGAATGCACCCCCTGCTGGAAATATCAAACTGGCTTTCAACTGCTGTGATAAAGTAGCAGGAACAGGATCCTACTGTGGCTGAGACTTTAACACTTGAGCTGACTTGTTTTATTACCTTTGTCTTTACATCTGCCAACATAAGCTAAATATACACTTACACTTAATTGAGTTGTGTTATTGCAAAGATTATGACAATTATACATTTTGTAAATGCATTGCATTTAAATTTTGTTGGTTTTTTTCTATTATGTTTCTCCTTTTAATGAACAAACAGTCCAGTTATTAACCTGCTCCAGTCCCATGATATGCACTTGTAATGCACTTCATGTGCAGAGAAAATATTATATAAACTGAACATATCTGAGGGTGCAATAGCTTTTTAATTAAAACTCTGAGATATGCAACTTTAAATTATTTTATGATTATCAGTTAAAATTAGTAACAAATTGTACATTTTAAAAATAATAATAACATCAGAGGATCAAGTTTATAATGCCCTAAAGGGTTTTCTGAAAGGAAATTTGATATTTAGACACAAAGCTATTTAAACAGACACACATTAGCTGTTTGACGTTGTTCTCYTTTACATGTTTAATTTCATTTTGCATTGGCTTCTTCTTGCTGTTGTTTATTAAGTCTTTTTCCCTACATTTATTGTTTTACATAAGAATGTATGGTTGTCACTTTAAAAAGAAGGTGTTATTTATAGTATTAGTAGTGAATTAGATCTGGTGCTCCTTTTACATTTTGTTGAAGTTATGTTTTGATAGTCAGATCAGATCAGATCATCAGATCAGATCAGATCAGATCATCAGATCATCAGATCAGATCAGATCAGATCATCAGATCAGATCACATCAGATCATCAGATCAAATCAGATCAGGGCTCACCTCCAATGATAGTTCTGATGAGAGAGGCGTGGCCCGGACAGTCCACCAGGGTGAACTGAAGGCTGTCGTACTGCTGCCCTCCGCTGTCCTGCAGGTGATCAGGAAAATCCACCGTGAAGGAGGAGAAGCCGAGGTCCAGCGTGATRCCTCGTTCGCGGGACTGCGGGTTCTTGTCGAAGGCAGCCGTGGAGGCGGTGCTGCTCAGCGCCCTGGCGAGCGACGTCTTCCCACTGTCGACATGTCCGAGCACCCCGACATTAAAGTTCAGCGTTTTAGTCCGACTGCCAAGCGACTCAGACATTTCCCCTGATCTGTCGTTGAAGTTTTATCTAAAATATGAGCTGGATCTTGAATTCAGCACGCTCTGCTGTTCGAGACACGCCTCTGTCGATAGATATTCTTATCAAAATCTTATAATTAAGATTCTTCCATTACAAAAACAGGACTTTTAACTTTAAGCCAGCTACGAGAAACTACCTCCAACCTTGGTATCCAAGTCATCTTCTGGAAAACGAAGTAAAGCGGAACCTTAGTTTTTCTTAGCAAACAAAGGCCAAAAAAATGAGTTGATGTAAATTTATTACAGCCTAATTGTAAATATTTATTAAAATGTTAATGATTTTTGTATTCTCTTCCTTGTTTTAATGAAACATCTTTATACTAATTCAAATTGTTTTTGTTTCCTCTACAACAAATTAAAAAGAAGCACAAACGGAAATGTAAACTAATGGGCGGGGTTACAGAGCATTAAAAAACGATTGACACATCTTCTATCCAATCAAACTCACAAATGTTTTGACATGGTCCAATAGTTTCTTTACGCCTAAGACAGGCGGAGCCACACGGTGTCATTTCCGCTTGTTTCCCCTAGTAACTCACATGGAAACCTGTGTTTTGAGTTTCGGCGCGGACCACTACAATAAGAAATTATCCGAAGCAAAGGCGGCTTTTTCACCTTAAGAGTGAGCAGCGGTTTCGACACTATACAATTATTATAAACTGCACAGCTATGAAAATCGAGGAGGTAAAAAGTACCACGAAAACTCAAAGGATCGCCTCACATAGTCACGTCAAAGGACTCGGGCTCGACGAGGCCGGGAATGCTAAACAGACAGCATGTGGACTGGTCGGCCAGGAGGCTGCAAGAGAGGTACCGTTTATATTTTACTGCACTTCCAGTTAGTCATTTACCCCCATATATCTGTACTTTAAGAGTTTTGCAAAGACTATTAGCTCACTCACTCATAATAGTTTTTGAATGCTAAGCTAAACCCGTTAGCACACTGCACCCCACCATCTCATTCACTGGTCAGTAGAAAGCTAAGGCCATAAACCCATTCTTTAAGCATTTTCCTTCAAGTTTATGATCAATTTAGTTAGTTTTCCATTAGAGCTGATCAGTTAGGAAACAAAATATTAAATTCAATTCAAAAAATTTATTCATTTAATTAAAAAGCAAACCACTATATACAATAGAAAACAAAGAAAATACACAAATCAAAACTCAAAATAAAATTAAATGAAAGGTAGCAGAAGAAGAATAAATCTTATAATGTCTGCCCTTTTTATCCACAGAATATATTCAAACATAATTTATAATAATAATATAATAGTTATAATAATTAAAAATAGATGTTGATGACAGAAAAAAGCTAATGTTTTGCAAGAAAATAAACGTATAGTCAATACATAATAATAATAAATAAAATAAAATAATAATAATGCATTAAGTCAAGATTTTTTTTTCATTCACAAAATTAGTGACTAAAAGTTACCTTCAAATCTGATAAACTTCATATAATATAATAATATCTGAAATATTGTAGGTCGAAGGTTATGGCATTAGTTCTTTTACAACTAGTGCTCGTTTTTCTTTCAAAGTTAGTTTATGCAATAAAAGTCATTTCTAAAATCTGGGGTTCTATGTATAATACAGTTACAATCAGCAGGTTAAATCATTTACGTAATTAAAAATAGTACATTATGTCAAACCTGAAACCCTAGAAACATCAGTGTTTTCTTAGTGAGTTTACGCACAAAGACAACAATGACATTTCTAGACTCATTTGACTTCTTCAATATGTTAACAAAAGAGCATGTTTCCCTATCGTGTGGAGCTTTTGTTTTAAAATATCCATTAAATAGACAGTTTGCATGCATGGTCTAATAAATTGGAAGTATAATAGCTGTAGGATTTAGAAGAGAATCATTTAAAAATACTTTTTTTGCCTAATTAAAACAACATATTTACGCATCTTTTATGGGCTGCATTTGTTTCACGTTGCAATAAATATTTTAATAGATGATCTCCAAGTTGAACTGCTGACATGCTGAACAGCAAATTTTTTACTAGTAAGCAAGATTTCTTCAGACGTTTTCAGATTTTTAAATATATTATTCTCTATTACTGATGTCAGTAAAAGCATCATGAAATTATTTGCTTTATTATTATTTTTTTCAACTTACAAAAATATTTTAATAAGCATTTTTCTGAATTGTTCCTATACACTTATATTGCATGATAGCATTTGTTTTTTTCTCTTTAGGCCTGTGGCATCATTGTTGAGATGATCCGCTTCAAAAAGATGGCAGGAAGGGCAGTTTTACTGGCAGGACCACCTGGAACAGGAAAGGTTAGTGTGCAGTGTTCAGTATACCATGAAGCATGGTTAAGCACAACTTTAGTTGTTGCTGCTTATTTTTACTCTGACTTTATTTCTGCTTTCCTACCTTCAGACGGCCCTCGCATTGGCTGTGGCGCAGGAGTTGGGAAACAAGGTGCCTTTCTGCCCCATGGTTGGCAGTGAAGTCTACTCGACTGAGATMAAAAAAACAGAAGTACTGATGGAGAATTTCAGGAGGGCAATCGGTGAGTGGGAATTGAAATTCAAACTAAGAAYGGTTTTGTCTCAAAAGGTTTTGTTGTAGGAAGAAGTTGGTGTAACTTGTTAAGATGAAAACAAAAAAAATGTCCTTTGAATTATTTTAGCAGCACTTTGTCCGTCTACAAGCACAGATACTCTAAAGTTTGAGATCAAATTTATTTTAAATTGAAATGTTAGGTCTTAGATTTTGCATTTCTTGCTGTAAAAAGACGTTACCCATTAAGAAACCACTAAAAAGGAAATGACTACTTTYTTTATGGTCCTAAACTGTAAGAATTATGAGTTTAAGGAGATGCTCATTTTTTTTAAAGGAATAAAATGACAGGTGAWGAGAAAGGGTTTATCTGACCGCTGAAGGGACCTGTTGACTGTGGAGGAAATGGAGCTGAAATAAAAAGTATTCATTGGCAAATTCGCTCCACCTCCTAGAAAAGTATCTGCGGGGCWGAGCGGATTTCGTCCAAGGTTTTTTCATCACCTTGTCAATAAYGGCACAGTCTCTGCCTTAAACCCTGCCTCCTGACCCTCGGCTCAGAGGATCAGGCACCTGTTCTGCTCATACCCAGCTTCAAAACTCTGTGAAAGAGAGTGATCRCATTACAGTGAACGATGCCCTGGCATTTCAAAGGCGCGCACACACACGTGTCCTTTCCTGTCATAAAATACATAATTCTGCGGTCTGAAAGATGTGAGGCTTAGCTGATGTAGGAGTACAAAGACCCGATTGAGGTCTCGTTCTGAAGTGCGTTTGTGTCTGACGGTACCGCCGCCCACATTCAGGGCTGCGCATCAAAGAAACCAAGGAGGTGTACGAAGGAGAAGTGACAGAGCTGACCCCCTGTGAGACGGAGAATCCTATGGGCGGCTACGGCAAAACAATCAGCCACGTCATCATCGGCCTAAAGACCGCCAAAGGCACGAAGCAGCTCAAGGTCAGACTGGTTCTTTCATCACCATCCATCACCGACTGTAAATAATCTGTAAATTCTCAATATTTTTTGAATAAGCCAAGAATAAATGATTATTAAAGTTTTATTTTCGTTTGAATAAACTTGTTAAACTTATTTATTTTTATTGGTTTGAGTTGCGTTTGCCATAAGTAAAATATTTGATTTCTGTAGTTCTTTCTTTAACACAGATTTAACAGTTTTATTTATTTTTTTTACTTTTAGGTAATTGTACAAAATCTCACTTAAAGGGGACCTATAATGCAAAATTCACTTTTTAAAGCTTTTGTTACTCAACTTTGGGTATGTACTTCTTAAAAAACAGTCCTAGGACCAAAAAAATGCACCCGGGGGCATCTTTACTGTAAGTAAANGTCTCCTTTAAATGATAACAATGCTGTTATTTCTTCTCAGCTGGATCCCAGTATTTACGAGAGTCTTCAGAAGGAGCGTGTGGAAGTGGGAGACGTCATCTACATCGAAGCCAACAGTGGAGCTGTTAAGGTAAACTTTTTCACGCTTTTTGTTTTGCTGTTGAAAAACCTGCAGCAGAGTTGGAGATGTAAGGCAGGTTGCAATAAAACTGGCTGAGTTGTAATTAAAAACCCATTCTGTCTCTTTGTTACTTTTCTATAATAATTATTTCTTTTGCTGTTCAGGTTTAATGAAGTTAACTGTAATTTTAAGAAAATGTCTATAGTTTCTATAATTAAAATTTGGCTTTTTTCCTAACTAAAGCTTAACRTTCTTAATGTTTAATTGGGTCAGAGTTTAGTGGGTTTTTTGTCTCCCCTGTCAGTCCTTCATGGTATCGTTCTGCTTTTATCTCTGTCCTGAAGTTCTGCTGGTCTCTGAAATGAACGTCTCATTCTTGTGCCTTTTCATGCTCTATCTGTATATCTCCCATCACGCAGTGGGGCTTGCTGCCTGTGTTGACAGACTGCAACGGCGGTTCTTTTAATCGCCGCAGGTGGGCCGGGGGCCTCGCGGCGGCTGTGGTTAGATAGTGGAGGAGGGGGATGTGGGGGGTCCTGGTCACCCATTTGTTACTGTTGACAGCGATCCCATGAGCTGCCTCCTCCAACCCTTTCATCCCTCAGCCACACGTCGTCCTCTCTGCGGCGGGCTGGCAGCAGGACTGCACACCTGCTCTCCCTCCTCCTGCCTTCTGTTTCATTGCAGACGGCAGTAAAGCTCAGCTTTATGGTGTTGTTTGTTTTGCAGAGACAAGGGCGCTGTGACACCTTTGCGACAGAGTTTGACCTGGAGGCAGAGGAGTACGTCCCACTGCCCAAAGGTGACGTCCACAAAAAGAAGGAGATAGTCCAAGACGTCACGCTGCACGACCTGGATGTTGCAAACGCTCGACCCCAGGTACAAACCTGACACACGAAACACAAATTAATCCATCTGCTCGCTTCCTACAAGAGGAGTAACCACACCCTGTCTTCACCCCAGGGAGGTCAGGATATCCTGTCTATGATGGGACAACTGATGAAGCCCAAGAAGACAGAAATCACAGGTAAAGATTKATTATAATATTCTACTGGTTATCAGGCCCACAAAAACACATTACCTTTAAACATCCAAGTAAATTTTGTTAAATGGGTAATATCACGTAAAATCAACTTTTTTGAGTTTTATATCATGTTATAATGTTATACTCTCATAAAAAACCTGCCCAAAGCCTTGCTTTGACTCATTCATGCGTTTGAGAAATCCTGCAGTGTATTTAGGAAGCCATGCTGAGAAGCAAAACAAATAAAAAGAGGCGAAATTTGAATGG